AATACTGGCATATGTTTCATCATTAAAATTTTCTTTTACACAGTTATTGTTTCTATGATTTATTCTTTGACTCATTATTTAAGATTTCATTGTTAAGTCTCCATTTGGATCTCTATTTTTTGTTTGTGAGTCCTGAAGCAATTTCTATTTTTATTGCATTATGTTTTATAAAAAATGCACTAAATATTTCTGCCTTTTTATATTTGTTTGCAATACCAATGGATCCTAGTAAATGGTCGCTTTTTATAAAAATTCCATGTGAAATAAAGAAATAGGTATAATCTTTTCCCCTCCCATTTAGAGGACACAGTCTTTTAACTCTACTTTCTTTGAAACTGTGTTCAGTTCCATATTTTCCCTTTTATCTTTTTGTTAGACTTATCCAAAACTGAGAAAGGTGTATTGAAGTCTCCTGTCTCTACTTCTTGAATTAAATATTTCCTTTATGTATTTGGATGCTGAGGCATTTGGAGTGTGTAAGTTCATTACTGATATTGGTTTGTTGTTTGTTGTTCCTTTCAGTACATTTAGTTTCCTTGTGTGTTCCTTTATATATATATTTTTTAATGTTTTTGCTTCATCACATGATGGCAATTCCTGCTAGGGATTTACCTAATATATAGTAAAAAAAAAAGTTTTCCATCTTCCTAGTTTTATTTTGTGTATGTCTTTGTTTTTTAAATATTTTTCTTGTAAGCAAGAGATTGTAAAATTGTTTTTTTATCCAATCTGTCACTGTTTTATTGGATTATTTAATCCATTCCCATTTAAAGTTATAAGAGTTAGGTTTATATTGTCTTCATCTAACGCTAAAATTTTTTTTCAATTTATGATGTCCCCCCTTCTTCTGCTGTTTCCTCCATTTACTTTATCTTTTCTTAAGGTGGCCCTGTTCCCACTGACTCTCTTCCTTTCACCCCTGATTCCCTCTCTCTTGTTACCCCATTCCCTTTAGGGTTTTATTAGCTCCTTCTCTCCTGCTTTTTATCTATTTATATATTTCTTCCCCCTCTTTTTTCCTCTCAGTTAGGTAAGTAGATTTCTTCTTCCCCTTCTCTTCTTTTTAGTCCTATTCATTCTTTTTAAATTTCACTCTCCTTTCCAAAAAAGGATTTCTCTTACTCTCTTCATTATTCATCTCCTCTTTCTGTTTATCCAGACCCTCATTCTCTGATTCATGACTCTTAAAATTATCTTGTATCTCATTTTTCTCTATTCTTCATGCAATTGAAGCTTCCAAGGTATCCATTCTAGGCTCCCTTTTAAGTAATTTCTGCCAACTTTTTAGAGTTTGCTCTGTGGATACCCCTTTTCCATCATGTTTCACTCTCAGAACAATACCAATTACGGCAGGTGTCAGAGTGGACAATGCCCTAAGGTGGAACCCCTCCCTTGCCACATTTCTAATTATACAACCCACCAATAATCTATGCCCTTGATAATCTTTTTCTTTCCTACATATGCCTGGTGTCCATACACTCCCATCCCTCTAAGCATCAGGCTCCCCACCTCCCTGAAGAAGTAGACTTTTCAAACAACATATTCCCCTGGCCTCTTCCAGTGTAAGGCTATTTTCTCTATTGATTGATCAATCTCTCTTCAACTACAGGGGCATTGATTAGTGTAGCCCCCTTAGTGGAGGAAAGTAAGGCCTCCTTCCTTTCCCTCTTCCCTTTTCAATCTTTCTTTCTTCCTCCCTTACCTACCTCCCTGTAGGCTCTTCTCTTTCTGAGACCAGAGAGGTCACATTTCCCTTGTTGCTAGCCCTTGATTTGACCCCAGCACATCATATCCTCCTCTCTATTCCTCTGCTTTCTTCTACGTCCTTTTATGTACCTTCCCCATGTTGTAATGTAGTCCCATAAAAAACTGATTGACGTCTAGGCAGGAGGTTGCCAGATTCTATCTATAACACCTGCTATCTGCCTCTTCACTCCCACCAGATTTCTACTTTCACCCTGTCTCCTTGTGTATATTTAGAAAGAAGTCTTTTTTTGGTTTTCCTGTTGTCACTCTGTCACTGCTGCTGACTTTGCCTGCTGCATTTAATCACTCCTGTATTTCTGTTGTTTAGGAGTCAAATAATCTCTTCAATTTTTTTTTCTAAAAAAATTTCAAACTCTTCTTTAGTATTGTATGTCCATCTTTTGTCCTGTATAGATTTGCTGAATAGGTCACCCTGGGCTGCATCCTGTGCTCCACTGTTCTTCAGAAAACATTGTTCCATTCTCTCCTTTTTTCTAACGGGTATGGAATAGTCTTGTGTTATTTGAATGTCCTTTCCTTTGTATTTGTATTTCTTCTGAGGGCTTGCAAAAACTTGTTGTTTCTTAACTGAATTGTTAAATTAAACCACTACGTGTCTTGGAGTTTGCAGTCTTGGTTTTGTTTTTTTTTCTGGAGGCAATATGAATTCTTTCAGTTGGAATTTTATTTTCTATGTTCAGAAGTTCTGGGTAATTCTCTATATTTTTTCCTGCATTATGGTGGTGAGGTTTTTTGTTCTGTCATATTCTTTCGGGAGACTTATGACCCTTAGGTTGTCTCTACACATCCTATACTTGAAATCACCATGTTTTGTTTGCATAGGTAGCCTATTTTCTTTTAATGCTTTTGTGTTTTGCTTTTCCTCTCAGCTGTCCACTTCTGTGTATTTGCATTCCCAATCTATTCTCTTTTGTTTCTTAGGTGGGGTTAACCATAGTAGATTAGTTTTTCTATTCTGCTTGTTATTTTTGCTGTCTGGGATATAAATTATGCTCTTATAATTCACATTTCTCTTTTAAACAACTAAAACACCATGTCATGGTTCCATGTTCTAAATTGTACAGGGTCCTGTGTCTCATCAAATTTTGGATCACTTTCCTTCATTCTACAGTATTTATTACTAGATCTGGAGACCATGTTTCCTTGTGTTGTTACTCTATTTATGATCAACGTCTTTGAGTTTTCTTCTTCCTGAAATCTTTGGGAATTTGTCCCCCTCACCCTCCTCATTTTCCTTATCACTCACTTTCTGACCTCCCTTCCCTCTGATTATGTCTCCCTTGGGGGCTGGACCTCAAAGCATTTCAGCCTACTTCCACACTACACAACTCATGGTTCACCAGCCTAGGTCTCTGCCTCAACTGACTTATGGGTACTCTGAACTGGTCTCAGCTAGGTGCTGTGCTCTTTCCCTCAGACTTGGTGGAGTGCTGCAAAGTCTCCCATAGACAGTTTCCTGTCCTAATGACCTGTCCCATCACCTCTGCTCCTCATTTCTCTAGCCCAGCATAGGCAGTTCAGAGCCTATTTTGCCTGGCACCAGTACTTCAGAGCTTTGTAGTGCTGGTGCTTTTGGACTGCAACCCCTGGTAGGCTTTTGCTCCTGAAGTGCTATGGCTAAGCTGGTTGTTTAGGTGAAGCAAAATTCTAGAGCCTTGTGCCAGGGTCTCCATGGCTCTGGAAAAAGAGAGGGGAGACCAAAGTGCAGGAATGGGTTTTGTGGTAAACCTCTGGTCTGGCAGTGCAGTCTCAATGTCACTAGTATAGGAAGTGGGGGAGTAATGGTACATAAGCTCAGGGTCAGTAAGCATCAATTCACAGGTTTCTGTTTCTTTACCTTCTTTTGGATTCGGGTTTGGTAGACCACGGAGACATGTGAAGTAACTTTAACTTTGGTGTGTAATTTCTGTTTTAGAGAGGGTTGAGAGGTCACAGGGATCAGAGAAAATGTCTAGTATTCCATCTTGTTGCTCATATGACCCAGAAGTTTCTCACCAGATGAGAATCATGGAAGAAAATCAAGAATATAAAAACTTTGGAGGCCCAGAATAAAAGCAACTCTGGTGACAAAGAGAGAGAGAGAGAGAGAGAGAGAGAAAGAGAGAGAGAGAGAGAGAGAGAGAGAGAGAGAGAGAGAGAGTGTGTGTGTGTGTGTGTGTGTGTGTGTGTGTGTGTGTGTATGTGTGTGTGTGTGTGTGTGTAAAACTGTATACAGTGAAGAAACTAAGAAGGAAAAGATCTTCCCATCCTAAAACACAACATAACAAAATAAACAAACACACAAACAAAAGCAACCTTTCACTACTCCTCCAAAGTCCTAACCTGGGAGTTCCCTATATCAATAAAATTACAGGTCCAGTCCCTATTCCTAACATGTAGTCAGTAACCATCATGAATATTATTCTGGCATATTTAATTTTGGTGACAACAGATATTCTTATATCTCCTTTCCTTCTGTCCTATGATTTCACTATTTTCTGAGGACCACAGACAAATCTGGCAACTGACCTAGGGCAGAGGAAATGCTGACTCTGGACTTTGAAAAATACTCAAAGTTAAAAAAAAAAACAGGAACATGAGTTTTAAAAGCAATTAAGTTAGTGGTAAAATAACTTTTGTTAACTTCAGGCAGTGTTTTAAAAAATAAAACAATGAAACAAAAATAATCTGAATTAAAATAATTTAACTATTTTATTGGTTTAATTCAGTACTTGGTCTATTTGTCCCTTTTTGCATTTGAAGACCACATTACAGATTTTGCAACATGTGGGAAGGAATTAGGAAAGGGAAGTGTGAAAAACAATATTGAAGCAACATTCCTTCTCATATTCTACGCACACTGGGTTATACTTTTAAAGCTATCCATCTGTATACTATACTATATACTACTATAACTCCAAAAGAATACAATGATAAAAAATATTCTGGGGTTTTACCTACTAGAATTCAGTTTTCTTATGAGCCCAAAAGATTTGAGAATCACCAATCGACAAAATAATCTCTTGTCTCACACATGTTGGAAGGGTCAAAACAAAAGCCTCAGAGGCAAAGAATTAAAGTACCAAACCTTCAAAGAGGTTTTAGCTTAATCTGCACCAAATATTTATGGTACTTATTAGATCTCCACTTTTATAAATACAGAATGAATGTAGCACACTGTAAATATTCTGCAAGCACAGTGTCATGTTTCTATTACTGAAGCTCCTAGCAGATGATTCTGAGTATCAATTTACCTGAGAGGGCATCTTGTGCCTCAAAAAAAGTGCTAAGCCCTCCTTTCACATATGCTAGACTCCCTTCATTTTTCTTGTTCGCTTGTTTCTTCAGGTTGCTGACTGCCATTTTGAGCTGCTCAAAGCTGAAATTACACAAATGGAAACAAATGTTCAGTAATCATACCATGAACAAACATGCATTCAGATAATTAAGCACAAGATTCACATTATTTTATAATCTGTTTTAAGAAGCATCCAGAATACAATACCTATCAGATTAAAAACAAAAAGCTTTCAAATTCTCATGAATGTTCAAATTTTTCAGTTTATAAGACCTTAGATTCCAACAGTTATAAAAGGTCAGCTATGTAAAACTCAAGTGGCATTTTCAAATATATTTGGCCACTTGGTAATAAATATAAAAATGTATCTGCATGCAAATGCTGTTTACCATTTTTTATCAAGGATCTGTATAAGGCCAGAGGTGGCATTCTTATTAAATGTGCAGATAGCACACAAAGCTGGATTGGATGATGCTGGATGACAGAGTCAGGATTCAAAAAGACTCTGAAAGACTAGAGTACTGGGCTAAATCTAGTAATGAAATTCAATACAGATAAAAGTTTAAGTCTTATACTTGGGTTCAAAAATATCAATTTCATCAAAATAAGATGGGGAGGGCTGCATAGACATGAATTTGTCTGAAAAAGATTTAGGGTCAATTTCAGTAAGTTGGCTTGTGTGATATAGCAGCCAAAAAAGATAATGTACTCCAAGGCTGCACCGAACATAGTTTCTAGGTAATGGTCTCTCTGTACAAAGTCTTCATTATATCTCCTCTGGAGTTTAAGATGAACATTGTTAAGCTAGAGAATTTTCATAGAAGCGCAACTCTGATAGAGCAAAGGACTTTTATTCACTGACATATCATGATCAGCTGAAGGAACTGAGGATGGAGATGAAACAACAACTCCTTAGGCCTTCTCCACCATTGGTAAGTTTCAACTGGGGCCTCCATTTTGTGGAGGGGACCAACCCAGCCTTTATTCTTCTGCCAGCTCCTGTTCCTGACTTCTAGATTTCAAAACCATGCCCCCTCCTGACTTCTAGACTTCAAAACCATTCCCCCACACAATGGTTATCTTTTTCTCCTCACCCTTCCCTTTTGTGTCATGTCATCCCTCATTAGAATGTAAGCCTCAGGGGCAAGGACTTTCTTTTTTTCCTTCTTTCTATTTGTAGAACAGTTCTAGGCACAAAACAAGTACTCAATAAATGTTTCCTTTATTCTCTTCCTTTCCTCCTATGTTCAAGTACATGGAAAAAGGATTAGACTTGTTCTGCTTAACCCCAGCAATGGGTAGAAGTAACAAATTTAGGCTTGATGTCAGGAAAACCATAGGAACTATTAGATTGTCCATAAGTGGAATGGCCTATCTCAAGAGGTATGGTGTTCTCCTTCCTTAGAGGTCTTTAAGCAGAGGCTGTATAACTATTTGTTTGGTGAGTGTGGATGAGTACACATATACCTGTACCCACCCATATGTTAACCCAACTAACAAGCATGGTCTGTTATATAAAGTATCCCGGAAAACAGTCAAACTGATAGTTTCTTCAAAAGGAGAGAAAGTAATGTTATGTTCATGTACAACAACTTAAAAGGATGAATTCCACTGTGCATTTAATTGCCTACTTTGTATTATGGTCTAAACACAATATCATCTACACCAGCTCTCTATTTACCACTCTCTCAAAGCCAGTTCCCTAAAATGGACCTATAATGAACAAAACCAAAGATCATAATAGTGATACCTTGTGGATCTGTCATTTGACTGGTAGAGTAACTCACCAGTTAAATAACCAAGGATGAGGTATCCAAACTTTAATTTACAAAGAAAACAATGGGAATCCCAAGGTTCCCTTTTCAATTAGGCTAGAAAAATAAGACTTTTAAGTAGAAACCAAAACACCCAGCACAGAATATATTCTCATGTACAATGAAACACATGAGTGTAAAACTGAGATCATTTCAAATGATTTTTAGCAAAAACAGCCCATAAATATAATGTGGTAATAATTTTCTTCCCACATATAAGGCAGCATTTTGTTATAAAAGCTAATTAAAGCTTAGTTTTATCACAAGTGCAAAAAAAGTTTTTTCTACCTAATGTACATTTGTTTTCATATATTAAATATATAGTACAAAATATTATAAAATGATCTTTAAAAATAATTTCAATAAATTTGAGAGTGAAAAATATTTTAGCTGTTTAAAATTACAATCCTATCTTGCAAGTAAGTGTTTGCTGATGTGAGTATCTTAACATTACGAATGGATAGGTTAAATTTAAGCGGCAAGCAAATAATCTGAACATCTGAAATTAAAGAGTCAAGTGTATTTTCCTGCTATTTCAAGGTAGATCTTAAGGAATGAGAAACTAACTTTCTTTTTCTTCTCTGGTCAGAGAAAAAAATACCTCAGATCACTCTTGTGACTCGGTCATGCTAAGCACATTAGTCTCTGTTAAATTATTTTCAGAGAAATGCTGGAAAGTGAACTAAATTTTAATGGCTTACAACATTTTAGGCATTTACTTCCTGGGATGTCATATCAGGACGTATGTCTATGGCACACAAAAGTCTTATTCCAATGTGTCATACAGGTGTGGCTACAGTCATGAGTTCTCAATTGTTATGATTGTAAATTGAAAGTTTAAGCAAAGCTAGAAAAGTTTTAAATACAGGACAAATGGCAAACTGTATGTCTGCTGTCAAATGACCAATTAAGGTCCATTACTAAGTGATAGTTTTTTTCAGCCAAAGAAGAACATAAAAGCTATCTGCTATGGTATAAAGAGGTCACAATCTGGATAGGCAGGAGATAGTACTCAGGACAATGAAATCAGAGATGCATGCAATATTACATTATACTCTCATCTCATATTACCTCATACATGAAGGAACAAAAGAAATGCTGATTTTTGAAAACCTTAAGGATTGCTACCAACTTTGATGTAAATCTTAGCTGTCACATGACACAAAATAACAGGCTTACTTTGAATACATACAAACCTGGTAGTTGAGTGGTTCTCTATCAAATACCAGGCAGCTGAGAAGTTCTCACTAGTAAAGTCAGCACTCATTCCATGGAACAGTGTTTCCAAGTCTTTCTGGGGAAATTTGCTTCTAAAAGAGAAATGTTAAGAATGTTATATCTGAAAAATGAATTAAAAAAGAATGTTATATCTATATAACAATGAATGTTAAAATACATCATATAATATTACATGATAGTATGCAATAAAATCACACAGCATTTGAAACATAAACCTATATATACAAACACTATACCTAAGTTTCATTTTCTTGCATATATATATGTTACTTGAATATTTCTAGAAATTAGTAAGTACTCCTCCATCTACTGACAGAAGCTATAATGCACCTTGAACTTAGTGGATGGTCTTCAAGAATTATAGCTAAAAAAAAAACCTGTACTGACACCAGCCTGATGCTAAGATTCTCCAAGTATAGATGAGTTAATTCTGCCATTAGACTTGTAATTGATCAACACCTCTTCAGCTTGGGAGAACCTGCCACAACTTGTGCTAATGGAGCCTTGGAGAATCCACTGACACTACAAAACCACAATGAAGGACTAGAGTGCAATTTTAACAGAAACAGAACAATGCATTAAATGAAAATACTCAGGAGTCTTGAAATGTTCAAACACTCCCTATTTTCTCAAGGCTGGTACAAATTTATCAGGAGATACAAGGTATGAGGCACAAAAATCATTAATTCAAATAATCAAACTGGACGAGTATGAAAAGCAGCATAGCATAGTGGATAGAGAGCTAATTCAGACGAAGAAATGGTTTCAGTTCCTGCCTTGAGACATCCTAGCTGTGTGACCTTAGGTAAGTCTCTTCACCTCTTAGTGCTTTAGGCAACAAGACTTTAAGTTACAAAGAAGGTGACAACATACACTGGTTGAAAGTTTTACTATTTAAGAGAAATCACTAAAATGATATGCATGCTAAAGAGTCCTGATGAGAGAGACTAGTAAGGGAGAAGAGTAAATTCCCAGTTCAGACATACTCTTACTTATATACTTTTGGGATAAAGAAAATAAAGAAATTCAATCTGACTGAATTTAGCTTTGACTTTTAACTATCAAAAGCAGAAATAATTTTCCATTAGTACAGATAAATTTATTTGACAATTATCTTAAAGAAAGGAATGGACCTGTCACTTCACAGGTAAATAGAAATCCCAGATGAAGAAACTCCCTCTAACAATGCAGGTTAGTATTTTCTCTGAAACTGATCATCTCAGTGAGCTCAATGGATTTACTGACTTTCCCAAAGTCACAAAGCCAGTATGCGTCAGGGCTTGAATTCAGGCTTTCTCAGCTCCAAGGCCAGCTCTAGCCACTACACTACTCTGTCTCTCAGAAGATCAAAGGGGATTATAAGGATCTCTATTTAAAGTATCTAATTATAGAATAATTGAAAAAATATATATTTATGTAAAATAATTTTAAGAAAGCTATCAAAGTCATAACAGGCCATGCATGCACCATCTTTTACCAATATTCTCAGAATCTAGTAACATGATCAATTCTTAACTGCTAAAGTGGAAAACTGTTGTACATGCTAGAGATACAAAGACAAAAAAGGAACAGTACTTGCTATCAAGAAGCTTATCTTCTATCAGGATTAGAAAACACAGTGAAAAATAAATATTTATACAGTTAAGTAGATACAAAGTTTGTTATTTTGGGGTTTTGTGCAGACCTACATAATTTCATTGGCATAAGGAACTCCAATAAAGGAAACTCCTTCTACCAATGTAGATTAACTGTTCTACAGTTTGTGGTCTTAAGAGAGGTGCCTTGGGGCAATAAGAGGAAGATCACTTGTCCAGGTTCACATAACCACTGGGACTTGAATCCAGGTCTTTCTGGCTCTGAGGTAAGTGCTCTACCCACTATGCAACGCTACAAAATAACACAAAGGAATTTCACAAAGGACAGAATAGTAACAAATGAGAAGATTTTGAAAAGTCCTCAAATAAGAGGCAATTAGGAAGTCATTGAAGATTTCTGAGTAAGAAGGTATCAGAGTCAGATGAATATTTCAAGAACATCAACTTGGCAACCGTAAGAGAGATGGGAGACCAATTGAGGGCTACTACAATAGTCCTGGCAAGAGGAGATAAGAGCTTAAATGCTGAGAGAAGGGAAAGAAACATGAGAGATACTAAGGTAGAACTGAAGACCCTTGACAAATGACCAGATACAGGGCTGAGGAAGAAAAGAGTTATGGATGACCAAGTTTGTAAATAGAAAGGATGACAGAGTCAAGAGAAATGGGGTTGTTTGGAAGAAGGATGAATTTTTGGTGGAAATATGATGAGTTTTAGTTTGGATATGATAAATTTGAGGTGCCTTTGAGACAACCAGGTGGAGATGTCTAAGAAGCAGTTGGTAACATGAGCCTGGTGTTCAAGAGATAAATATTAGGGCTCAGCATACAGATCTGAGAGATCAAAGAGAGAAGAGTATCTAGGGTGGATGGCTACTTGTCACACATACTGTAGAGGGGATTCTTATTCTGATACGGTTTTGATAATAGATGACTTTTGAAGTCACTCCTCTAAGATTTTGTGATTCTATGATTTTTAAGAGCACAGAACAATAAAATGAGAGTGTCAAGGATGGAAACCTGAGGGATACTCACATTTAGGAGTTGAGAGGAAAATGAACCACTTGAGACAGAATGAATGAATGAAAAAGTATTTACTAAGCTCTATATGCCAAGAATTGTGCTAAGCAATGGGGATACAAATAGAAAAGCAATAAAGTCCCCACCCTTGAGGAGTTTACAAAGAGAAAACAGTCAAAGTTAGTCCTTCATTTTACAGATGAGGGCAGGACCTGAGTGTTCTGTGTGCTAGGGTCCCAGAACCACTAATGCCCTAAACCTCAACATTTTGGTGGCCCATACAGGGAAAACTGACTAACCCCAAGTTCTTCTCCAGCCAAGACTGGAAGGTATACAAGACCCCCCTCTTCTTTCTTGCCCTGCACTTGGGGCTGCTCTCCAAGCACCTAGGAAGGCTTGGAGGTGCTTTTCGGGCAGACAGTTACGACGCTGTCTCGCACTTAGCCTGATGCACTCAGGCTCTCAGTCCACTGGTTTGGTTTGAGGCCACAGATCTGGGGACACCTTCCACAGCATAAGAGGACAAGGATGGATGCCCTATCTGGAAGCATGCCGTATCCAGAAGAGTATGCCCAATTCTGTCGATTCTCTCGGAGCTAGAGAATTGGGAAAACTGTAAGTGCTTTTTGGTTTCCTGAGGCTTACTTACTCCCTTCCCACTAAACTCCTAGATCCTCCTTCATGGAGGCTACAGGGAAAAGTCAGAACAGCGAAAAGCATTTTAGTAGATTCCGGAGGTTTTATTACCAATCATAAATCCTGGTCACTCCTTTCTCCCACTCCCTTCCCTTGAGTTAAGAGAGTATCTACTAACCCTTCTCATAGGAGAAGAGAGTTTCACCCTCACCCCCCCTCACCTTTGAATTTGCCCACCCCCACCTGATGAAAGGAGGGAGGGGGAAGTGGCAGAAGCTAGAGCATGGGCCCCACTGGCAATGGCCGTGGGTCCTGAGGCAACCTTTGCCTGTAAGCATCACCCAGGTTCAGCATGTCCTGCTCAAGGTAAAGAAGCTAGCCTCCGAACTTGGGTAAGCACATGCTTTTAAAGCTGTAGTTTTAACTTTTAATGATGAGACATTGATTCTCTGTGTAAAGTAATTGGGAAATGCATGTAACAAAACTGAAGTTACATGATTGGTAACGAGTTTGTTTTTAGTTTCAAATTGGTGAACTTTTTCTATCAGTTATGTCAAGCAACTTTTCATAATTTGGTTACTGCTAAAATAATTTGGCTATTGTTTTAATGTGTAAACATGCCAAAAAGCTTGTTTGGGTTTTGATTTGCTAAGAATTTGAAAGTATAAGAAATAATCTCTAATGATTAGCTTTTTACACCAGGACAAATTTAAATTTGGGATATAAATCCTGGAAAAGTTTTTCCTAAGCTGTGATTAGTGAAACTTATTGTTTGAAGCAAAGGCTCACAGGATTTTATTTTGAGTTGTCTAATGGATCATAATAATCCATTGATAATCAATAATCCACCATCTGAGAGAAATGCCACAAGCTACTCAGAGAATGTGATACTGGTGGGAAGTCAGCACCAGGAAAAGCCAAGAGGACAATTTTAGCCTCAGTCTAAGATGGGATCCTCCTGGCTCAGTTTCCCCCTTATGTTCCTTTGAAAAGGAATGTTACCCACCTGGCTATTTCTGAGGCTGGCTATGAGGTGAATTTGATACTGCATGGTTGTAAAACTGAATTATCTGAATTCAAACAGAGCTAAGGATGTTTTATCCTGCCATTTCAGCCCTACAGTCTTTTTTCTGTCAGATTTGTGTCTTCCAGACTATAGGCCATTCACCTACAGTTGGTAGCAAACAGTGGGTACCAGCCAATGTCCCCCTCACTGTTCCCTGGATGAAACCTGTGCTCAGTTCTAGTCAACCTCCTCTTTGGGACCCCCCTGAGGCAGGGACAGCTCTATGTCCCTTGCCAACAGGAAGCAGTTTCAGAAGCCAAGACCTTCACCCCTTACCCCAAAAGTATTTGGGTACCATTTGTTTGAAGGGGGAATGATGAGGATGGGATCTAGACCTCAAAAAGGAAAAACCCTGGACTTTCCCACAAGCCAAATCTCTGGCTTTTGCCAGAGGCTATAATCCCATCAACAGACCTTTCATTGTGGCTACACCCAATCTCCCAATTCTCTATTACCCTTAACCTAGCCTAGCCCTCCACTATCTTACATCCCTAAAGCCACTTTCCACCCTTAATCCTATCTAGGCTCCATTCTCCCTTGGCTCTGTGGTCCAGGTCCCTGGTTCTGATACATATTATGAAAACCTGAGCCAAACCTCACAGTCCCCACAGACAACTTGAACACTCCTAGATCCCTCCCACAGTCTTTATGTATATAAGGTCCATCTTGTGTCCATTAAGGTGCTCAGATTCTTATAATCCAGGTAAAAGCTCACTAACATTCAGACTCCTTAGGAGTCCGCCCAATATGATGAA